CGGGGAATGCAGGCTACCTGAGTGGAGGTGGGGGTGGGATGGAAGGTAGTGGCTTAGTCAACTAGTGGGAGCAGTTTCCTATTTACAGTCATTCGGTTAATCTTCCCTGTTTTCAGCTCCAATTCTCACTTCTGCTCATCTCTGTCCCGTCTTCCTTGCTCAGTGCTTGTTTCTTCCTTAACTCACTCCCACTTACTTTCCAGCTTCCAGAACTTACTGGAAATTTCTCGTTTATTGGTGACCCAACTATTTGCTTCTCTTTGTTGTTTTGGTACTTTTTATTTCAATGGACTCTTAGGAGAGACAGGAATCAAATGATGATAACCTAGTCCACCATCTTGAACTTATTAGTACTTTTAAGAAAAGGGAAAGACCTGACTTTCTATAGAAATTTGTAGAGACACGATAGGACCAGTCAGTTCTATTTTCTCTCATCTTTTTGTAGTGCTTATCTATGAAGAAACAAGGTGACTACCTACATAAATACTAAGTACTTCTTTGATATTTAATAGAATTTTCATGATTGGTTTTTAACTTATTATATATTTCTGGGATAAAGTGCTACTGTTTTCATCAGATTTCCACATGGCCTAAATCCTAAAAGAGGTTAAGAACCACAGGACTAAATTAAATGTACTCTCTCAAATAGTACTAGAGGGTAAAAATCCCCATTCTATGATGCTATGTTTTAGATTTTAAATTGCAGATGTTGAAATCACAAAAAATTAAAGTTTGAAAATAATTTAAAAGTTGTTAAAAAAAAACACCAAGGCAGTTAATAAACAAATGCATGTGTAATATGTTGGAAAATAGTGGGGTTTCTTTTAGGAACACATCCAAATGTATTATGCAGTGGCTTAAAAAATAACAGGAAAACCTCACTCAGGACTTGAGCTCTCTTGTATAGCAGTTGAGAGTGCTGAAATCTGGGGATGCCAGATACATTCCCAACCTGATGACTTGGATAGCTACTTGGAATATAGCCATTCAGTTACAATGTCAAGTTTTACACTAAAAGATCCAGTGACTAAATTTTAGAAGACCCACATGATGGCATTTCATGTTATAGTTCAGGTATCTTTTTTGTGTGTGTATCTTAAAAATAAGCAAAAAAATTAAAAGCCGTAACAGCAAAAAGCACAGTCATGTGGATAACAATGTATGATTTTAACCTCTCAATTAAATATTAATATTTGTTCAAAATCAGAAAATATGTGTGCATTGTTAAAAAGAAAAAAAATCAATGACACATGTTAAAACATGGTAAAGAAGACTTTATTCAAGGGGGGAAGCTATCAAGATAGGTAAAGGAGCCACTGCAATGGAATTCTGCAGTGGGGTAGAGAGATTGGGCTCAACTTTGAACACTGCATCGGAAATGGTAATTTATAGCCAAGAAGTAGGTGGGAGTCAGTGGACGGAAAATTACGAAGAGGAAACATTAGGAATAAGAAGGATTCTGGCTAAACTGACCCAACAGAATTCTTGCTGAATACAGGCCAGGGTGATGAGACATCACCTGGGGGAGAACCCATCAGACATTGAGAGTAGGGGTTCCCTTAAACTGGCTTAGCGAGGTTCTTGCTAAAACTAGATTTCACAAGTAAGTGCACAGATGGGCATGGGAGAAGATTCAGGAGACTTACTAAAGTTTGGTCAAGCAAAGAATCTTTGTCAGCATTTACAGAATTGTGTTGATACAATGACCTCAATGAAGGTCAGCCACATAGCATATGTTGGCTGTATTATAGTAATGCTTAAATTCTGGGCTACAGCAGCTTTGGTTGGAATACCTGAAGTGAAAGAAAGAAGCTAATGCTCATAAATGAATTAAACCCATGTGGTTTTGTTTGGTTCAATAAACTGAAGGTAAACTTTTTTCTGATAACATCTTCAGGACATAGGGAACACATTTCAAAATTAATGATTCCCATATAATTTTATATGTGTAAACTTACTGGGCTGAATATACCTTGGAAGATACGTATCTGAATAAATCCTGTTCGTCTATTTTCATTTGCTTTGTTCATCTATTTCAACAGGCTTATCACCAGGAAGATTTCAGTTAATCAAAGGTTATAGTTCATTGTGGTTTTACCATAAAATTTTATAAACTAAATAAACTGCCAGTTACCTACCTAAGCGATGAAATCCAAAGGTGAATCTTTTGGTTGGTGATTTTGAAGACAGCCACAAAGCAAGCAGAGTCAGTATGATAGCACTTAGGTCAGTTAACATATGAAGTGCATCTGTCATTATTGCTAGGCTATTTGCAATGTATCCACCTTAGAGCAAGGGTGAGAGGGAAGAAAGAATAAGTTAATTAAAATAAAAATATAAGTAATCAAGCCAAAAATACGTAACATCCTACAAAACATGAACTTCTAACTAAATCTTTATCCTATTACAGTTAAACCAAGATACCTGAAATTTCATGCAAAACATTAAATATGTATCTATTTTTCTAGTGAGAATGTCCATTTCTATGAACAGGTTCTCTGTGGAGTCAATGACCTTAAAAAAGTTAAGAGCCACTAAATTGGGGGCTAACACATAATGAGAAATTTTGCATTTTAGCACTGCATTTATTTAACCTACTAATTCTACTATCAGATAGTGAATTTAATAAACACAATATCTAAATATTACAATAAAGCTGAAGAAAAGGTAGGTTATTCACTTGTTTGGGAGGGCTTGAACATAAAATTAAATGGAAGAAACTCAAAATGTACATTAGTTTAAAACAAAAGAATTGATTCTCTTTGATATAAATAGCAATTTTTCCTAATAGAGGTATAAAGGGTGGTATTTAGAATACAAAATTTTATATTGATTTTCCAGACTAAACACACACGCACGCATGTGCGCACATGTGTGTGTATGTATACATGTTGTTCCATATGGTCAACCAATTTTTCCTAGCACCATCCATTGAATAAGCTTGTATAATATAATACAGAGTATTCTAACTTTTATGTATATCAGGATCATCTGGAATGTTTGTTAAACTACAGATTGCTTGACTCCACGCTTAGAATTTCTAATTAAGTAGGTTTGTATGGGGCCTGAGAGTTTACAGTTCTAACATGTTCCCAGGTGATTCTGATACTTCTGGTCTTGGAACCACACTTTGAGAATCACTGTTAGAATGTATAATAGAACTTCATGATCAGAGTGTTGTGACACATAAGCATGATGAGCTGCTGCTGCTGATCCCCCTATTCCTGGGATGGGTGTGCAGAGGCAGGAACAGCAGGAGAACTGGGGCTTGGGATCTTAATAGTCACATCCATTTACTCCAGTGTGCTCTATAACAAATATCATTTTTTTATGTATTCCCTGACATGAAAAAGCTAGAAATGACTGACAGAAAATACAGCCTGTTGGTTAATAACATGGGGCTTTGACATCTCACAGACTCTGAGCAAGTTACTTAACATTTTTGAGCCTCAGTTTACTTATCTATAAAGTGAGAACAATACCTTTAAGCCACCACTGTTTACTAGACCTTTCTAAGGTAAAGGAAATGTTCACATGTGGCTGTTGAGCATTTAAAATATGGCTAGTGCAACTGAGGAGCTGAATTTATTTTATTTTAATGTACTTAAATTTACAGAGTTACATGTTGGTGAGCATCAAAACCAGCAGAGTATGAACCTCTGAAAATCATTTCCTCCATGAAAGCAATAAGAACATGGGCAAAAATTGTCCCAATCAGCTTTTTCAGAACTCTGGAAATTAACCAAAGGCTGTTACAAGTAGCATTTAATCAAGGAAAAAGGATGAATCTTGGTAAGAATAGTGAGCTCTGTGGCATTTTAACTTGCCTTATACCCATCTCCTCCTCTCCAGCTTTTCAGTGGCTTTGAAATAAGCAGCAATCACAGTGGAAAACCTCAGCTTAAAAGCCACTGCAAGGGACAGAATGGAGCTGGAGCTCCTTAAAAGCCCCATTCTCAGAGAACTGTCATTATTAAACCTGTCTAGTGGTTCCCTGGAAGACCATACATGCCAGGCTGTTTTGATTTCACTTGACTTGGAGCTCTGCCGTATGCAAACCCCAGGGAGTTTTGTCAAAAACAATGAGGAAATAGATAACATGTTCCCTGTGTTCTGAAATTTTACAATGATGTACTCAATTTGTTGGGCTTTTGTTGACTCTTGCAATCCGAAAATGTATACCTTTCAGTTCTAGGGACATTTCTTAAACTACAGTAGTTTCCCCTTGTCCGCAGGGGATACATTCCAAGACCCCCAGGGGATGTGTGAAACCATAGATAGTACTAAATCTTATATATACTATATTTTTTTCCTATATATACATACCTATGATAAAGCTTATGGCTTTTCTATGGCATATCTGAATTGCCAGCATCACAACTCTTGCATTTTGGGACCATTATTAAGTAAAGTAAGGGTTACTTGAACACAAGCACTGTGATATTGTGACAATCGAGAAGGCTAATATTGGGTTGTAGGAAAAGTCATGATGTATTTTGTCTGTTTTTCAAAGGTCATTTATTTATATAAAGAACAAAGATCAATGATATATTGCCCGTTTCGTTCAATAACCTTTTGCCATCTTTCAGTGAGCTTCATAATTCCTCGTTCATAGAAGGACCTGTCTTTATTTGCGAAAAACTGAACAAGGTGCTGATTTACAGCCTCATCTGAATTGAACGTTATACCACGCAAGGAGTTTTGAAGAGAGCGAAACAAGTGGAAGTCTGACGGCACAAGGTCAGGTGAGTATGATGGGTGTGGCAACATATCCCATCCAAGCTCCAATTATTTTTGACGGATGATCAAACTTGTGTGTAGTCTCGCATTGTCGTGATGGAACACAACTCCTTTACAGTTAACAAGCTCTGGCCGTTTCTGGATAATGGGTTCGTTCAAACTGTCCAATTGCTGACAGTATACATTTGAATTGATTGTTTGGTTCCTTGGTAGGAGCTCGAAAAACACGGCACCTTTAAAACCCCACCACACTGAGAGCATAACCTTCTTCTGATGAATGTCTGCTTTTGATGTCATTTGAGGCGAATCATCACGTTGGGACCAAGACTGTTTGTGCACCACACTGGTGTAAACAATCCACTTCTCATCACCAGTTATCAGTCGCTTCAAAAAAGGATCGTTTTCCTCACGTTTAATGAGCATACTGCAGATGTTTATATGCACCGTGAAATGAACTTCTTTGAGTTCATGCAGAACCCAAATATTGAGCTTGTTCATGTATCTCAGCTTCTTCAGGTGGTCTTGAACGCTTGAATGATGGATGTTCAATGTTTCTGCAATCTCTCCTGTTGTGTAAGGTGGGTTTGACTCGATCAATGCCTTTATTTTGTCGTCATCAACCTCGGTGGGCCTCCCTGACCAAGGAGCATCATTGAGATAAAAATCATCAGCATGGAATTTCGTGCAGGTTGGCACTGACATTCTTGTAGAGCAGTGGGTCTCAACCTTCCTAATGCTGCGACCCTTTAATACAGTTCCTCATGTTGTGGTGACCCCCAACCATAAAATAATTTTCATTGCTACTCTATAACTGTAATTTTGCTGTTATGAATCGTAATGTAATTATCTGATATGCAGGATGTATTTTCATTGTTACAAATTGAACATAATTAAAGCATAGTGATTAATCACAAAAACAATATGTAATTATATATTGTGAAATATTTATTTCTAATTACAAATACATTAAATTTTGTCTTGAAGCATGGAGACGGATAGAGGAAGGGTGTCTCGGTTCCTAAGACCATCGAAAATATGTGTTTTCCTATGGCCTTAGGCGACCCCTATGAAAGGGTCGTTTGACCCCCAAAGGGGTCGTGACCCACAGGTTGAGAACCGCTGTTGTAGAACATTGTCACCGTAAACTTTACACAACTTTTCACAAGCTTGACACGTGTTTTTCCCTTTATGGAAGTAAAACAGTAAAACATGGCAAAAATGCAGAGTTTGGTCTTCCATCTTCAACTTGTTGTAAAATATCCAAAACTCAACCAAATCGCTCAATTGTTGTTTAGAATGAAGCTAGAACTGTCAGCTGTCAAATGACATAGCAATAACAGATGCGAATGACACTGGTACTTCCAAAAACGAACTAGTGCCATCTATTGCAAACATGCGTCATGACTTTTCCAGCAACCCAATAATTGCCTATTGGGACTGGTAATGTTTATAGCACAGATACCCTGGACAAAGGGATGATTCACATCTTGGGCAGGATGGAGCAGGACAGAGCGAGATTTCATCATGCCACTCAGAACAGTGCATGATTTAAAACTTACGAATTGTTTATTTCTAAAATTTTACATTTACTATTTTTGGACTTTGTTGATCACTGAAATAGTAGAAAGCAAAACCACGAATAAGGGGGAGACTATTTTATGTTGTTGATTTCTTTCCTTCTGCTTTTTCTATTCCTCAAACTCCTATTATTTGGAGTTTGGACTAATATACTAATTTTTGTGCCCTTTTTTCTATTATCCATTTCTACTCTTTTGCTCTACTCTGTCCGAGATTACCTTAGTTCATCTTCGTTTCTGTGGAATTAAAGTTTCTTAAAAATGTTTTTACTGTTTAAAAGCTCTTTACACTGAATTTCATTTTTAAAGCAGCCTGTTCTTGTTTCTTATGTTTGTGGATACTATCTATAGTTGTATACTATTATATCTGACTGTGTCTTTAAAAGCTTTGAACTAGATTTTCTTGTTTTAGTCTTCCTCTTTATCCACACTTCTATGGGTACTTGGTGTAACCAATTCTGGGCCTACTTAGGATTCTCTGGTACAGTTCTCAATTGAGGTGCCCAGAGTAGCAGTATCAGCGTCTCCTGGGAACTTGTTAGAAATACAAATCTTCAGGTCCCATCCCCGGCCTACTTAATTAGCAACTCTGGCCCAGTACTTTGTATTTGAATAAGCCATGTAGGTGGTTCTAACGCATTACTGTAAACTGGGTTGGTTCTTGGCTTTCCCCACTGCTTGCTTAGGAATTGGCTTTCTTGGGTCTATTAAGTCAGTTACCTCTTTTATCAGTTTCCTTTCTAGTTTCCAAATTTGTGCTGTGCTAGTCTCCTCTCCAGTTTTCCCCATCTGTGTGGATATAGTATATATATTTAAATATATACTGGGGTTGCCAAAAATATGTATATACATGATGTGTATTCATCTTTTGTTATCGGTATATATTGAGTATTACAATTTTAATACGTTTTTTTTTTCCTTTTTAAAAATGTGTATACATTTTTTTGGCACCCTCTGTGTGTATATACATATATATTTTAAAACCCCTTTATTGTAGTTTAAGAGAGGTTTCAGGAGAGAGTACAATTAAATCATAAGTTCATTTGCCATCTTTACCTGGAGGTCTATTTGCATTCACTTTTTAAGCTTTTTCATTTCCAATAAAAATATAGTTGATAAAGTAATCAATAACTCTGTTACTAAACCCAAAGGATATTTTAGTTCTCATCATATTAGACCTCTCAGCAGCTTCCACTTATTTATCTCCACTTGGAAATCTCTTTTCTTGGATCCTGGGATACCTGTTTGACTTCTGCCTGACTTTCAAAGTTGGAGTTCCTCAAGACTTGGGCTCTCTAGGTGATTTTTCCCATTCCTATGGCATTACATACTGTATCTCGACCCTGACCTCTCTTCTAAACTGTAGACTCATATGCTCATTAGACATCTTTACTTGGCTATTTTATATACATATGATATGTTTAAAACAACTCTCGAGTCCATGCCTAAATCCTGGTCTGTATTTTCTCCCAACTTCATAAATGACATACATTTCCATACACTTAGATTAGCTACTTAGGTAAGAAACTTCAGAACCAGTCCCAACACTGCAATGCCATCAACCCCTATATCTGAATCACTACCCAATTTTGTCAATGTTATCTCTAGAATGTTTCTTAATCAGTACATTTTTCTCCATCCACTCTAGTTCAAGCCATAAGCATCTCTTGTCTGGACCTCTGCAATAGTTTACTTGCTTCCATTCTTGCACTCTCCAATCCAGCCTCCAAATAAGAGCTAGAATAATCTTTTAAAAAGGTAAATGCCATCATTCACTCTCCACTTAAAAGCCTTCACTGATGTCCCGTTGTATTTATAATTAAAAACTACACTCATTTAATATGGTCTAACAGAACCTGCCTGATCTGGTCCCCCTGCCTCTTTCCCTTTTGCTTACTATTGTACATTCCAGCTAAACTGGCCTTCTTTTTAGGTGCTTTTAAACAACTGAAGGTGTTGGGACCTTTATACATGCTGTTCTCTTCACTTGGAAAATCCTCCTCTACTCCCTTTGCTTGAATAATTCCTACTATTCCTTTTT